CCAGGAGGCTGCTCTTGCCAATGCCGAGGTGAGCCAGGGCCTGCCGCTGCAGCTCCTGCTGAGGCTGGCGTGGGAACAGGCCAAAAATAGCCTGTTCCCGAAACCCTGGTTTGGTGCCTGAGTGTTAGGGCAGGTCGATCTTATGAGGGCCCGAAAGTGGCCCTCCGTTTCAGGCTGAAAAGACTCAGGGCCTGGAAGGCCCTGTTTTACGCTGAAACGACATAGGGCCTGCAAGCCCTCGTTTTTCAGTCTTTCAGGCTTAAACGACACGGGGCCTGTAAGCCCTTGTTTCTAGGCTTTTAGGCTGAGACTGCGGGACAGGCCCTGCAGGCCCGTGTGGCTGCGCAGTATGCCACACCCCCCCCTCCTTGAAAGACCGAGCTTACCTGCCAGGGCGAAGCTGTCTGTCTGAGGGAGGGACCACAGTCCGGGTGGGAGGGGCGGGTCCTGAAGTTCCCTGAGCTAACCTTTGTCGCTCCTAGTGAGCGTAGATCAGCGGTGCGGATGCGTTCAAATCTGTTCCTGAAATCCACCGAGTGTCGTCGGGATCGCATGCTTTGAATGTAACTTTGTACTGTCGAGGCTTGCTGCCGTACTTGCGATCCATGATGACGCGGTCAACCTCCAGATGACCATCCATAGATGGAGGATCTTCGATCTTCGGCCCGGGAAGTCGTCGCTCTTGGCTGGTGTATATGTTGCCAGCTTCGAGGTGTGAAAGGCTGGATGGACCGTCAGATGCAGGGGAATGTTGATCACAAATGAGGGGCCATCGGGCTCATCGCCCGCGGCTGATGTCACGGGCCATGGTTCAAACCACTTGGGAAGCAGTTTGCGTGAAACATCCTGTTCGAGTGCAAACTCTTCCGCGGAGACCCACACCAGATCACCGGCGCGGATGGGACATGGCACGCGATGCCTGTTGGCTTGCTGCTGCATGCGGACTTGATCCTTTCGCATGTTCGCGCGGGCTTGAACCAGCAATGCCCTATACTTTCGAACGGAAGCGGGGGAGCAAGCAGCGTCTATGTCGGCTGTTCGTGGGAGGAGAAGATCAGCGAAGATACGGCCTTTGCGGCCACCGTGGTGGAACTCGAATGGAGTTACGTCGATCGTCGGATGCAACGAAGTGTTGTAGGCGAACTCAATGTCGGGGAGGCGGTCAACCCAATCCTTCTGATCCGGACGGATGAGCGTGCGAAGCATCATTTGAGCGGTTTGATGTGCCCGCTCCGTTTGCCCGTCCGTTTGTGGATGCCGAGCCGAACTTGGTTTCATCTTCGTGCCGGATTCCTACATGAGAGAAGTCCAAAATGCCGACATGAAGCGAGTGTCGAGGTCGCTGACGATGTCTTCCGGCACGCCATGGCTGCAAATCCAGCTGGTGTGTAGGAGGCGCGCAAGTTCGGGAGCCGTGGCGTAGTACTTGCAAGGAAGAAATCGCGCATACTTACTCAAACGGTCAACGACCGTGAGGATGCCGTCGTGCCCGCGCCGGTCGCGGGGAAACGGACCGGTGACGTCCATGGCAATGGAAAGGCCGGGTTCCTGTGGGGGCATCGGGCGCAACTTGCCGTAGGGATTGCGGTTGCGGGGCTTGCTTCGTCAGCAAACTTCGCAAGCAATACTGAGTGACATCGGTAATGAGGTCAGGCCATCGGAATCGTTGCCGAAGTCGTGCAATAGTGCGATTGACTCCAAAATGGCCGGCGAGTCACGAGTCATGGCACTCCCCGAGAAGGTGAGTCCGAAGACGACGGTCGCGTGGGACACACAATAAGTCCTTGCCTCTTAAGTGGAGGAGCAAGTACCCATCGACGATGCGATAATGGCTGGCCGGCGGGTGATCCGAAGATAGCTGCGCATACAACGTGGCGAAATCCGGATCGGACTCATAGCCCCGAATGAAGTGTCGCTGGAGTTCCTCGTCAAATGCGAAGGCATGATGYGTCATAGCGCAAAGATCGGGTCTTCGCGAGAGTGCGTCTGCTGCGCGATTGGAGAGGCCGAGAAGATGTTTCGGTGGGAAGTCAAATTGGTCGATGAAGTACATCCATCGTCCGATCGTGCGGCTCACCGTATCCTGCGTCTTGTAGTATGTAATAACCCGGTTCATAAGTAGCCTGGGGCTCAAAACTCAGCCCCAGGCCACGCAGACTTGAGAAGGTCTGCGCTGGGCTATGTGACCAAGACACGCCCAGGCCTGAGTCTGTCGAGTGTGGCTGTGTGACCGCACGCTGCACACAGGAAATTCAAGAGTCAAAGTCAACTGTAGAGTCAAAGGTACCGCACTTAGGCCCTGGGTTGGATACACTCACTTGTTGTGCGCACGTACCCAAACAACATCCAGGCCGGAGGGAATTCGGTTCCAGGCCGATTTGAGCCCTCATTCGCATTAAGATCTGGAAACGGCCGAGGGATACAGTAGCCGGGGTCCAGACCCCGCGTCAACACTACATAAGAGTTGACTTCCTGGCTTTGACATTCATTCTATCTTGCGTTGATGCTGACTTCACGCATTGACTTCGACGTTGGCTTGACGCTGCGACACTGGCTCGACGCTGCTGGCATTGTGACTTGGCGAGGTGCAGCTATTCCGACATGGTGGCCGGCTTGCTGCTGTCTTCTTGGCCTGCTGACGTGGCAGCTGCCATGCACCTTCGCTGATGTGGCTGCTGCCACGTGTATCATGCTGACGTGGCTGCTGTCCACGTGTTCTGTGACTGAGAATACATATTCGGCATTGCTGTTTTGTTCATCATCACTTCAAGAGGAGATCAGGACTGTGGGGGAAAGTTCGAGGATACGTACCTGGTGGTCTTCATGTCGACACTGCTCCAGATGCTGATGTGGAACTGATTAGTCATGCCACGTGGCACGTTGAGGATACTCGGATACTCGTTCAAACTATTGATTGATGAGGTGGCAGTGGAGGAGGGAGCCCGAAGCAGGAGTGGGCATTTTTACTTCCTCTCCTTTGTCTCTTCTCCCTCCTCCCTCTTCGTCTGTGTATGATATCTCACCTCATTCTGTCTGATCACGATTTTTGACTATTTGTAATTATCAGCCGATGGACATTTTTATGGACTTGCATTGTTGACAACTGTCTCACGATCTGGGTTCATTACAAGTAGCTCAATGGGTTGTTGTCCATGAGTTGGTGATATCCCGATTTGAGGTCAAGCTTGGAGAAGAACTTGGCGCCGCCCAATCGTTCGAGGAGGTCGTCGATGCGCGGAAGACGGCCGGCATTCTTGACGGT